CCTTGTCATCTCATGACGAGGGAGCATGGAGCCGGCTTCCCAGCCAATCAGGAAGCCGGGCGCTGCATCATTACACGGAGCCCGGCTTCCATGATTGGCCAACAAACCGGCTCCATGCTTTCTCGTCACATAGTGACGTGAAGCATGGTACGACTTCATTGTTAACCGGGAAGCCGGGTGGCAAGTCTTTACACGCTGACGGCTTCCCGGCTAATCAGGAAGCCAGGTGGCGAGTCATTACACGGCGCCTGGCTTCCTGAATGGGACTTCCGGTACTCGCTATTTGGTACTCTGTACCAAAATACCTGTATCGGTGCATCCCTATCAATTGTAATCGATACATTTTTGCAGCCCTAGCTGCATGCACTATTTTTTCTGACTGCACCGGACCAGAACGCAGGCATTGATGTGCCACGTGTGGCCAGAGGGCATGGCTGCAGTGCCATTGACTTCAATGCACGCTACCTCCCGCCCTAAAACAAAGTGAGCCAGCCAGAATGTGATCCAGTGCGTTCCGGCACCATCCGGGCCGAAACGCACTGGGGCTGGTGTGAACTAGCCCTAAGATTTGTATTCGTGTATATAATTCTTCTTGTAAATAAATGTAAATTTGGTTTCAACTCATATTATTTGGATTATATTCATTTAAAGGATTAACAAAAAAAAATCTTCTAAGGCAGGACCAGCCTTGCTTTACTGTAATCTTCTAAGTCACTAAAGTGTGACTAAATATTTTTAAATGCTTATGATCCATTAAAAACATTCTTAGGCCCCAGCGAGATTTGAACTCGCGACCCCTGGTTTACAAGACCAGTGCTCTAACCCCTGAGCTATGGAGCCTTGCAGACTGGTCAAAAAATCACAATTTTTGCATCTGCAGGAGCAACATTAGCTCCTCCTGTTGCCATGCCACAGGTCATACCTGTTTTGCCCGCACAGGAAATCCAGTGTAGTCGTGGCCGAGTGGTTAAGGCGATGGACTTGAAATCCATTGGGGTTTCCCCGCGCAGGTTCGAATCCTGCCGACTACGAATTATTTTTTTCTTTTTTTTTTTCTTTAGTCTTCCAACCAAATAAACAGTAATTTGCTTATTTCAGTATTTATACATATAATCCTACATAAAAGTAAATGTGAAGGACCTTGCCATTTTAGCAATAGTTGAAAATCTACTTGTTTTGAGAAAGCACTCGTTCTAACTTTTAACAAATTCCTCTTCAAAGAGACTCGTAGCTAAAACCACATTTTTATGTTTTGCAAAGTAAACCGAATTGTGAGCAAAACTAGGCACTGCTGAGATTCGAACTCAGGATCTCCTGTTTACTAGACAGGCGCTTTAACCAACTAAGCCACAGCGCCTCACGCTACACTCAGCTCGCAGTTCTCTTTACTTTCTTCTACTCTGCTTCCTGTGTGTGTAAAAGTGAATGTATTAGACAATGAAACGTCCTCCATGTTCTCGCATAGTGACAACAAGCAAACAAAACCTTTGCAATGAAGGACAACAAAGGTGGACCACAAAAGTGACAATCAATGAATACAAAGTGGTATCAATGAATATGGGCAATTGCAGGAAAATGTTCACAACAAACAGGCAGTCTATGGACAATACACATAAAACAAAACAGGCATTTTTAGCCCTGCCCCCAATCTCATATCCTGATTCAGCACCGCCATCTCCATAGACCGCGGCGAAAATGCTGATCGCTTTCATGGGAGAAACAAATTGAGAAGACAATAGACGTACAATGCCTATATATACTCCAAATCCACTTACTAATATTTGATCTAACCAAAGAGAGCAGTTTTCCTGAACGATCAGTGCATACATAGTTTTCCTATAGGTACCTGGAAAGTTTGGTATCCATCGTTCAAGCAATTTTCAGTCATTGCTTTGCTCCTTCCACCATTTTGTATCAGTAGGAGAAGCTGCACTGTAGCCATCCATGTGATCCCCATTATACCCTGCAAGGTATTAAAGGAGAACTATGGGGTCAGGGCTTTTCCGCATAGTTCTCCTTAGGGTAACTGGAGGACAAAAACTAGCGTCCTCCCGTTACCCTAAGCTCAGTATACCGCGAGCTACAACTCGCCGTATACTGAGACGCCGCAGCCAGAGCGGATCCCGACATCGATGTCGAGATCCGCCCAGCTGCGTGAGTGACAGCTTGCTCTGCCTATCTAGAGGCAGAGCCAGCTGTACCCGCCCCCTCCCCCGTCCGATCCGCCAGTCAGCGCTGGCGGATCTGGGAGGGGGGAATCCAGCCCCTCCCCCGGCACGGCAGAGAGCCGTGACAGGATCGAGAGGTGAGCGAACGCCGGTATATGTTCGCTCACCTCCCAATCTACTGAGCCGACCTATGACAGTCTCATTGTCACAGGTAGGCTAGAACTATGAGGTGAGTGAAAAGCACTCCCCTCATAGTTCTCCTTTAACCAATCAAAAAATCCTTACGTTGCAGAGCATAATGGGGATTAAGTGTATTTAACATACTATTATTTCCAAGTGGGGAT